TCTTTCTATCTATCTATATAAATCTCACAATGGGGTAGGCTACAGGAACTTTTCATCAACAGATTGCTTTAGTCTGGCTTAACTCTTCACTGATTGGTTGCACACACTTTAAATGTACTGGCTATGCAAAAAAGAAGGTGGGGCTCATTATCATATTAAAAAACGCCCGTTTTTTGCCGCGAAAAACGGGCGTTTTAAACTGGCAAATAGTGGCACTATGGGCTTTCCATAAAGGGGGGCGAAATAGCGTGTATGTAATTACATTGCAAATACTGATTTGAGCCCCACCACTGTATGGGTTAGCCCTACAATAAAAAAAAAGAGAAAAGGCAGGTCTTTTCGTTTTTTGGCTTTTGGTTTAAACGAAAAATCAAACGGACAAAACATAAACGGACCCGACTTTTATACCATTTTATATTATATCATCAAATTATTATTACCTGTCCATTCATATGATTTTACTGTTGGAGTCGGTTGAGGTGGAGCTTACTTCTTTTTATATTTTGTATTGAAATGCAAATAATATAATTACATTCTGTAAATAATGAGAAATGCTGTCACATTAACCCGAAGTCTAAAGTTACACTTCCACAATGTTTGTTTTGCAAATCCAATAAAATGATTTGCATGAAAAAGGACTTAAAGAAAATGTCAATAGTTGCAGAGAGTACCTCCTCCTCCTCTGGTACCCTTCCTTGATGTTGAACACATTCAAGAAACTGTTCTAATGTTTGCAGGGCTGTATTTATTTATTTTATCATGAGCTTTAAACATGCTGAGCGAGACTTAAGCTGAACTGCTTTCAGACACACTTCAACTGTCCAGGTTCTTCTGGTTTCTCACAGATAGTTTTGTGAGGGTCTTCACAGGATGCATCAAACCAACACATCACGTGTGCTGCTCCGCCTTTCTCCCCCATCCTCGCACAATCCTCTCCATCAGGATTGACCTCTTTATAGTTGTCTGGCTCAACTCCGCACCAAAACTTCAAACTGAGATATTTGGAATAGAAAGACGTGCTTTAATTAAAGTGATGACTTTGATATTAGAAATTGACAAATAATTTGTTAACAACAATCAAACCTGTTGTCCAGTGGTGATCCGTCTGTCCACAGCCATGTGTCCTCTGTCTTTGAGTCCGTCAGTCCGATCCAGAACTTGTCCTCACCTGCAGTCATTTTAATTCTGGCTTTCTGCTCCAGGAATTCCTGGACAGCAAAAACAAATATGTTAAATAGCTTTTCTGTGCTAACTACTGCAGAAACAAAGTGGTGAATCGTGACCCTGCAGCAGTGTGTTATACCTGCTCCTCTCTGCTCTCTATCTTAACCAAATCTCCTCCTTGACGTCTGCATTCATTTCTGCTCCTTGACCATGTTGCTTTATTGGTGGAGCAATAATAGCATTTCCCTCCATAACGCTCCCAGCCGACTGGACATTTTGTACATGAGTCCCCTTTAAAAAGATCAGAGCAAAGTCTTTATTCAGGTGATACACATATGTTTTATGTGTGTGACAATCTGTCACTTCACCATCAGAAGATGCAAACATGTGAGAAAGTAAATCCATCACTGACTTTTTACTTCAGGGCACTTTGACTCCAGTTTGCATGGTTTTACTGCAGAGAATCTCTCTGTGAAAAAGATAAAAAAAAGATTTCACCTCATCAGAGGTGTCTCTTAGTTGAGAACCTGAACAGAGATCAAAACTCTTCCATGGTTCACTCAGTCGAGAAGCGACACAAAGATGAATATTTAACAGAACAATATGAGTGTTAAAACAATTGAGAGAGATCTGGATGTGGACAAAGTTTACCTGTGAGGTTTTTTATCTCAGCGTCACGCTCATCTATCATCTTTTGGAGAATCGTATAGTTTGTAGAGTACACTATCCATCAGAGGCAAAACATTCCAAGGTCAATTTAGGGTGAAGGTTATTATTTTAGAGATATAAGTAATGATAATATGTGAGTGTTATTACAAAATGAGTTAAAACAACCTTTGAGATTCTTTTCCACAGCCCGAAGATTTTCTTTGGTTTGGTTGTTTTTATACACTGATTGTTAAAAAAGAGAAAGAAAGTATGGTTTGTAGAATAGTAGTAATCATTCCAATTTAGAGTGAGGATTATCATAAGGACAGATCAAGGTAATAATTGAAATAAAAAGGAGAAGAGAGCAAACTCACAGGTTAGTACGAGGACGATGAGAGAAGCTGCAAGGAGAACGCTGAGAACAAACACAGCCGCTCTCTCTGAGGTGACTCTACATCGTGGACCTGACTCAGATTGCTGTTGAGTATCTGTTGAGGAGAACAAGAGAGACATCTCTTTACATTAAGTTAAATATTCCTTGTTACTATTCCCATTTCCAATTTTTCACCCCCTTTGTCTGTGTTTACTCCCTGTCTTTGTGTTTTCCCTCCTGTGTGATGGTGAGATTCTTTACACCTGATGCCCTTCTGTCTTAGCATGCCCTCCCCACCTTTGGGAAAGTGTGATATTTATGAACATTTCCCCTAGATTTGTACTCCCATTTAAAGCCTCACAAATATGTATCTGTTATGACATCTGTTACAAATAATAGTATGATAATAAATCCTAGTCATTTTCTTGACCTTATTTTCTCTCTCTTTCTTATTTGAAGACTTTTATTTTTCTAAATATTGTTGTTCTTTGTCTTTTATTTAGTATGCCCTGTAACCATATTATCTTTTGAAATGCAAAGAAAAACAGTTTTGCTCCTTGTGTGTTTGTTTTCAGGAACTTTTAAGACGCTATATCAGTAAAACCTTAATTCACATGTTCACACCCTACTGCCTGGTTCAAAAAACAGTTTCCTTTTTAGGACATTTTATAAAAATGCAGTCCATTACAGAGCATATTTTCATTATCTCCATTATCACTCCAAAAATCTAAAAAATACTGTCAACAGTCACAAAACAAATCTAAAATGCTCTATAAATCACGCAATAAAAACCTTAAGAATATAGATCTGGAAGATTTGATGTGAGTACTACCGACGTGGACATATCTGGTTAGAAAGTATATGAATAAAATAAGACATTGCATTTCTAGCTTGTAATTTGAATACATATAATTGGCAAATATCAATGACAATTTATTTTTGTGTCTTAGTGGGGAAGGCTCTCCCCGCCTGCTTCCAGCACTGTATGGGGATTACTGCGCACCACGTTTCCCAGGTCCCTAAGGAGCATACGATACGATACGATACAATATTACTTTATTTGTCAGATCAAGTCTGAAATTTGACTTGCGTCACAGCAGCTCCATGTCCAACATCAACAGACAAGTATCCAGACACAATACATGAAACACAAACAACAAACATTTAACATAACAGCACAATCAGTGAGAGAAAAGCTGCTCAAAGAGCCTTCAGCATGCATTTGATCTGGGATTTAGCTCTGTATTTACTGTGAGGATTGACTGATGCACGAAGGAGTGCTTCAGTCTGACTTTATTGAATCGTGGGACCCTGTATCTCCGATTAGATGGTAGCAGTTCATATTCACTGTTCAGAACATGGTTTGGGTCAGAGATGATGTTGTTGGACAGCCTCACTAGGTTGTTATGATAGGCTGAGTCATAGAGTCTCTGACAGGGCTGACCAACAATCTTTGAGCAGATTTTTAACAGGTGGAGCAGTTTTGATTTTAAAGCTGCTGACAAACATTTGTACCAGGTAGTATTGCAATACTGCAGAATAGACATGATCACAGATGTAAAGAACAACAGAAGAATTTCTCTGCTCGCCCCAAAAGACCTAAGACGGCGGAGAAAATAAATTCTTTGTTTTGTCCTTTTGCACAGATATTCCATGACAGCAGATGGTCAATCATTACACCCAAGTATTTATATGAAACTCCCTGCTTGATTTCATCTGTATGGATGACAATGGGGACTTTATAGGAGTCAGATGGTGAGCCAAAAATGATTTCCTCAGTTTTCTCGGTGTTGATCTCAAGAGCATTGCTATCAGTCCACTCAACCACCTGATTTACAGCCTGTTGGTGCAGCTCAGGGTCGTCTGTGTTACTGAGCAGAGATATTATTGCAGTGTCATCAGAGTACTTAATGATGACTTGATTTGGTGTGTTGGTTCAACAATCATCAGTGTGTAGAGCAAAGAGCACAGCTGAACTCACGCAGCCCTGGGGGGCCCCTACATTGGTTGTGATGGCAGATGACAGGGTTTTGTTAACCTTCACACGTTGCTCTCTACTAGTGAGGAAAGCAGCATACCAGTAAATAAGGTATGGATTTACTTCCATTTTGGCCATTTTTCACACCAAGATGTCTGCTTGTATTGTGTTGAATGCTGATGAGAAGTCTAGGAAGAGGGCTCTTGCATAGGTGTTGCGTTTATCTAAATATTTAGTGATGATGTGAACCAGAGTGGCCACAGCATCTTCCGTGCCGCACCCTTGTTTATAGGCAAATTGGTATGGATCCAGTTTGTCTTGTGTTGTACTGATAAGAAATCGGAGCAGAATTCTTTCTAGTGATTTCATAATCACTGAGGTGAGGGCTATTGGTCTGTAGTCCTTATGTTCTTTTGGGCATGGAATTTTGGGCAGCAGTTTGATGCATGGGAATTGTAAGTGCATTATATCCAAGGGGGTCAGATACAGCTTACTGACCCACAGCCCCCCCCCCTTCACCAGTCCTGTATGCCCCAGCAAGCACAGCAAGCAAAGCAAAGGAACCCGACATGTCCAAAAGATAAAACCTTATGAACGGGCCTGGCATAGACCAAGACGCCGCCGTGCATATGTCCTCCACACTCACGCCGTTGAACAAGGCTGTCGACACAGCCATACCACGTGTAGAGTGTGCACAGACCCCAGTGGGAAAGGCTCTCCCCGCCTGCCCATGGGGCATGTGAAATGCACTTGCAGAGCCATCCTCTCAGGCGTTTCTTGGACAGAGCTTTACCGGCCACACCATTCCCAAAGCACACAAACAGCTGTTCAGTGCGCCTAATGGAAGCCGTGCGCCCTACATAAAATGCCAGCGCACAAACTGGGCAGAGGAGGTGCAATGTTGCCTCCCTGTCCCCAGTATGGGGTGGAAGACTAAAGCAGTCTAACTGTATAGCCCTCGGGCTGAACAAACTCTTTAGGCTCTTGGGAACAAAGGAGGGGTTCGGTCTGAGTGTCGCCCCACTACGGTCACCACGAATGAAAAAGCAACTCGAGGTGCACCGTCACAGGAGCGCGGTCAGCTCGCATACTTTCTTGGCCGAAGTCAAAACAAAGCTTAGCAAAGCTGTTTTTCATGTGATAGTGCTTTCAGGGAGGAGAGCTCCTCTGAGGCTCAAATGGTTCTGTAACCAAAGCCTCGAAGCACCAACGGCAGGTCCCATTGCGGGGAGGAGGCGTGCACTACTGAGCGCTGCCTCCTGACCCCCTGCAAAAACTGCGACATAAGCGGCTGACTGAAGGCTGACCTGCCTCCAAATACCTCATGGCAAGACGAAATGGCTGCTGCACACACCTTAATTGTGGAATGAGCCAGCCCCCTGTCCACCACGTGACGATAGAGCGCTCTAGATCCTTTCTCCAGAGGCTCAAATGGTTCTGTAACCAAAGCCTCGAGCACCAACGGCAGATCTCATTGTGGGGTGGAGACATGCACCACTGGCTGGATAGTCTGTATAACATTGTCAGACAGTCCACCTCGTCTCAGCCTGTCCCTCTCAGGAGCAAAGCCTGGAGAGGTTGACCCAGAGTGGGTAACGCCCCTATTGCACCTGCTTCCTGAGACAGCGCCCCCCAGACCTGAGTAATCGCCCAGGGCTGGCCCACCATCATCTGTGTCATCTCCGCGTTCCACGGCGCCAAGCGGCGACCTGGGGCCACTAGGATGACTGACAGACGTTCCCGTCTCACCCTCTCCAGGAGGGGGGGAATGAGATGCAGCGGTGGAAAGGCATAAAGCAGCTTTCTTGGCCATGGTTCGTGTGCAAATGCGTCCACCCCCAAGTCCCGCCGGGCCAGGGAAAACCACAGGGCACAGTGGCTGTTGCGCCGATTGGCGAACAGGTCCACCTCTGCTCTCCCGAACCGAGTCCAGACCTGCTTCACCATCTCCGGGTGAAGCCTCCACTCATCTTGCAGGGGCCCACCTCTTGACATGAGGTCAGCCCCCTCATTCTCCCGCCCCGGGATGAGCAGGGCCCTTTGAGACAACACATTCTGTGAAGTAGAGGGCGGAGCCTGTGTGATATAACAACTTAAAATATATTTTATTATATATGATAAGTTATATGCATCAATAGAAACAGATTGTAAACCGTTAGATTTAATTGAAAACTAGGGAGAGCACGTTAAATGACTCAATAGGCAAGCCCAAAATGCACAAAAATGATATATATATTTTTTGTCATTATGGGTATATAATTATATGTATGGTGCTGTTATATCAACACAGTCTCACTCCCTGAACGTCCAGGAGCGACGCTTGGTCAGGGTCCATGGCCTGCAGTTGTGACGCACCGAGTCTCCTTCAGCTTCATAAACGAACGCAAAGAGCTTTCAACTGATTCCAATGTATTCCCATCTGCGGCGGTATTTGACGCTCAGGGAAGCACCGCATCGGTCCATGTCTGCGGCACTTAAAAGGCAATGTGAGCATCCATTCCCATTGGATAACGGAGGATTTTTCACCCTGACATAGGTATTCTCTTTACTGTCGATTGATTTTACAGTGATATCTGCACTACTCATCAACTCAAACACACCAGATTATCCTTGTTAATTACACAATATTGATTGGTTTAAATTGTGTACAATGCTTTTGTATTTTTCCCCTTCGATTCGGAGAAACTATTTTTTTTCGGAGTTTAGGATGGCAGAAGACACTACACTACCCAGAATACCCAGCTATCGTTTGGGACTACACCATGTGCTTTGCTTCACAAACCCCGTGATTAGTCCTCAAGCTCTGTGATTGGTTGACCTCCAACTGCATTCCATATAAAAAGAAAATATTTATAAAAGGTAAAATCATACTTTATTCAGCAATGCTTGCTTTACTCTTTGAAAGTCATCACATGAATGCATTGTAATAAATGGTCCGGCTGCATTAAATATTACACATCTGCAGTGTTGGGACTAACGTGTTACAAAGTAACGCGTTACTGTAACGCAACTACTTTTTGCGGTAACTAATAGCGTTACTAGTTACCTATTCCCATTAAGTAACACCGTTATAGTTACTGTGATTTAAATGGGTGCGTTACTGCGTTACATTATGTGATGGAACTGAACGGA